TGAGAAACAGGCATGAGCGGAGAGAAAGGGCGTGGCACACAAAATAATTATGTTACTTGCCCGAGATTCGATCGTCGGTATTATCATACCTAGTTCAATCTCGTCACCGGCAAGTCTCTTTACTCGTTCCGTAATGCATCATCCCGTAACTAACTCATTATTCACATTGCTTGCAAGGCTTATAGTGATGTGCATTACCGAGAGGGCGCAGAGATACCTCTCCGATACACGGAGTGGCAAATCCTAATCTCGATCTATGCCAACTCAACAAACACCATCGAAGACACCTGTAGAGCATCTTTATAATCACCCAGTTACATTTGACGTTCGATAGCACACAAGGTGTCCCTCCGGTATTCGGGAGTTGCATAATCTCATAGTCAAAGAAACATGTATAGTCATGGAGAAAGCAATAGCAATAAAACTAAACGATCATTATGCTAATTAGCTAATGGACGGGTCTTGTCCATCACATCATTCTCTAATGATGTGATCCCGTTCATCAAATGACAACACATGTCTATGGTTAGGAAACTTAACCATCTTTGATTAACGAGCTAATCTAGTAGAGGCATACTAGGGACACTTTGTTTGTCCATGTATTCACGCATGTACTAAGTTTCCGGTTAATACAATTCAAGCATGAATAATAAACATTTATCATGATATAAGGAAATATAAATAACAACTTTATTATTGCCTCCAAGGCATATTTCCTTCAAATATATTTATTTATAGTATATTGTGGTGTATGCAAGTGTTGTCCATGACAGACCAGGTCCACTCCGAGTAAAATATGTAGGAGCTCTCCCAGGACTGCATTCCCTGGGAACTTAGTATCTCTGAGTGATGTATGCATATAACTCCTCTTATATAGCTTACTTGTTTGGTGATTCTTTCCCTCTTGCGACTGTGATGACCACAACACTCATCCCCGCCTACCACTCGGACTGGGAGAGGGATCCAGGTGCCTCGTCACCGGTCAGTAGTTTAGGTTAGGATTTTTTTTCCTCAAAGGGGCAGTGCTTGGGTTGACAACGATGCTTCATCTTCGAGTTGGTCTTTTAGACTTCAATCCTCCTTGAGTTTGTTCGTCGGGGCGGAATCGACGGAGCTTCGGTGTAGATTGATGCCATCTCCTTAGGGTAGCTAGGTTAGGATTTTCTCATCATATGGGTGTGACAGATAGATTTGGTGTCAAGTAAAGACCTCCTGGCTCTAATAGACAAGGTCGGACCAACTTTAGTAGGGGCGTGACGACAATGTATTGTCCTGACGACAACAGTGGTGATCGTTGGTGGTCTAGGTACTCAATGTTTTTTTAGGTTAATAATTACACCTGGGTACATAAACTTGGGTGACGATAACAAAACCATACATGAATTTTAAAAACTCATAAAAGTGGTACGTTATCTTCGATGCGGACTCAATTAGGCAAAAACCTCACCCAAAATAGCCGCGTTGGGCACCACATATGCCAGAAAAAGCAAGTTGTGCATGTGTCTTTTTATGGAAAGACCCCTAAAATATATGCTAATTAACCCATGCCACTCCTCTATGTTTTATCTCATTCCCATGTCCCCTTCTCCAAATCCCTAGCTCAACGCCCGACAACGATGGCGACGCCACACCCACTTATCGTGTGCATGCCATGGAGGGAGGGAAGAAGGTGGGGCACTCTATTGGGTCGTCGTGCACCCTTGAGAGGCGAGATCTACGACGGGAACAACGGCGTCAACCAAGCTGGTGACATGGCTAGCAAATGGAGAATGACCTCATAGCTTCGTTTTGGCTTACAAAAGCCATGAAGGTGGGTTCTTTACTTGATGCATGTTGGTGAAATCTAGGTGGATGAGAGTGGGTCATGTGAAATTGGCCAACATGATAGGGTTGAATCTATTGGCGCAAAAATGACACCAGTTCTGAGAGTGTGCAATGAAGGAGTTGATGTAGGACGACGATTTCAGAGCTGCCCGATACTAAATTACGTTTTTTAGGTTTCACTGATTTTTTTTACTGTCTGGGAATTTGACTGAATGTGTTTCTTTAAAATTTACACGGGTTACACTCCTATTGGTACTTGAGGTGGACCGGTCAAAATGGCAAGGGAGAGCAAGGCTTGTGATTCACAAGCTTGCAAATGAAAGCAAGAAGCTGCAAAAAGGCTCTATTTGAGAAGGATCAGTATATTTGCAGGATGAAGCAAGAGAGGAATCAACAGAATGAGTAGAGCAAAATAAGGGGGAAAGAGTTTTGTTTGTAATATTTGTGGTGTTTGCAAGTGTTGTTTTTTATTATGTGGTTGCATTGCTTATTATGCGGTTTGTGTGATTGTAGATCAATGTATGTTGAAGAATAATAAATGGGACATGTCGGGTTTTCTGAAGTTGATTATGTGAAGTTTTTGTCCTTTTTATGCTACAATTTGCCAAGGTGTCGGTTGATCAACTGTAATTTGTTACTCAACTGAAAATTGAGCTAAATAGTAATTGGATATAATTGCAAACTGAAAATGCAAACTAATTTGGACAGAATTGAAACCAAATTTAACCGAAGAACATGATTGCATCATACTAACCGTCACTTCCGACCACTGATTAACACAAACTGATGGTACAAAAAAACATCAGATCCCTCATTAGGGTAGAGAGCGTAGCTAGAAGTATCACAGGGGAGTTAGCACGAGGGCTTTACCTAGGTTCAGACCATCATGGTGAGGTAATACCCTACCTAAATGATACAACATCAAAGATAATGTACCACTTTTATGGGTTTTTTAGTTTATATATGGTTATGTTACCGCATCGCAAGTTTATGTGCTCAGATGTAATTGACTCTTTTTTATTATGTTTTGGGTGCTTTGTTTATATGATGAACCTTTATAATAATAGATTGGGCCATTTTTAGTTTGCTGATTCATATTTAGAAATGATTGATGCCTAATTATGTAATTATTGTGTAGCTCCATAACATCAGATCAAGTAGACCTGATTTCTTACATAATTGAAGAGAACAAAAGGAGAAAGAGGAAAAGGATAATCTTGACAGAACTTTACTTTGAATCGGTTCTTCTCGGAATGGCATACCCATGGTCGTCTACGTCGTAGAGCCTGTCGCCCCAAAATTCAACCCATGGTCGGCTTGCCCGATCACCTTCGATCGCAGGGACCACACAACTAGTATCCGTCATGGAGGTTCGGCGGCCCTAGTACTCGACCCAATCATTGATGGATACCACATCACTCGAGTCCTTATGGACGGCGGCAACAGTCTTAACCTGATTTATCAAGACACTGTCCGTAAAATGGGTATTGACCCGTCAAGAATCAAGCCCAGTAACACTACCTTTAGGAGTGATTCCCAGTGACATGGCTAGAAAATGGAGAATGACCTCATAGCTTCATTTTGGCTCCAAAAAAGCCATGAAGGTGCGTTCTTTACTGGATGCATGATGGTGTTCTGCTAATGTTAGTCATGAAATAGGTGGATGAGATTGGGTCATGTGAAATTGGCCAACATGATAGGGTTGAATCCATGGGCGCAAAAATGACGCCGGTTCTTAGAGTGTGCAATGAAGGATTTGATGCAGGACGACGATTTCAGAGCTATCAAATAGGTTTTTAGGTTCACTCTATTTTTACTGTCTGGAAATTTGACTGAATGTGATTCACAAGCTTGTAGAGGAAAACAAGAAGCTGCAAAAGGCTAGGCTCAGTTTGAGAAGGATCGGGATATCTGTGGGATGAAGCAAGAGAGGAATCAACATAATGAGTAGAGCAAAATAAGGGGAAGAGAGTTTTGTTTGTAATATTTGTGGTGTTTGCAAGTGTTGTTCTTTATTATGGGGTTGCATTGGTTATTATGCGGTTTGTGTGATTGTAGATCGATGTATGCCGAAGAAGAATAAATGGATCATGTCGGGTTTTCTCAAGTTGATATGTGAAGTTTTTGTCCAAGGTGTCAATTGAGCAACTGTAATTTGTTACTCAACTGCAAATTGAGATAAATAGTAATTGGATAGAATTGCAAACTAATTTGGACAGAATTGAAACCGAATTTACCTAAAGAACATGATTGCATCATACTAACTATCACTTCCGACACTGATTAACACAAACTGCTGGTAGAAAAACCGTCAGATCCCTCAATAGGATAGAGAACGTAGCTAAAAGTGTCAGATGAGGGTTAGCACGAGGGCTTTACCCAGGTTCGGGCCATCATGGTGAGGTAATACCCTACCTACATGATACAACATCAAAATAATGTACCACTTTTATGGGTTTTTTGTATGGTCATGTTACCGCAGCGCAAGTTTATGTACTCCAGATGTAATTAACTCTTTTTATTATGTTTTGGGTGCTTTGTTCATATGATGAACCTTTATAATAGATTGGGTCATTTTTAATAAGAAAAAACTCCTATGGCCTCCTCAAATTTTGAACCTCAAGTTCAATCATAAAATTAACTTAAAAAATTAGGTCATATGCTAGTCACATGGCATAAATTTGAAATTCTGTCAAATATTCAAATAAGGTAGCGCCACTAGATAGTGTGAGTTTAAAACAAATATTCTTGTAGAGCAATTTGAATCTCACCCAAAGAAAGGCATTGCAACATATCTCATATTCATCAGAGAGAGAGTACAAAGTACAGCGACAAAATTGTACCACCAAATGAAGTCAAATTCTTGAATTCACCATGAATAATCGACACTACAAAACAAACTCCTGGCTGGTGGGGGCAGCATCTCCTTATTCTGTAAATTCCAAGAAGAATAAAAACATTCTAATCTAAACCTCAGATGGAGTTGCACTGAAGAAGCCCTTATTCATTCTCTTTCTTCTCTGCGCCGCAACTCGCATATCTACACCCCGGCACACTATGTACACCAACAAATCTGCCCTCAAATCTAACAAAACCGCCTCCTCCCGCAATCTCAGGAATAAATCGGAGAACATATACAACCAGCCAGAGCCAGATAGGTGAGGTGAGATGAGATGCTATCTTGACCAGGGCCCTCCACCAAACTGCCTGAAACAAGCAGCAGAGGAAGAAGGATGGGTCATTCCCTGTGCCCATTGCAGATTGCTGTCTACCTGGCTGCTTGCCACATTATTCTGGTGGGTGTAACCATACACATCTGGGGATGGAAGAACCATGTTCTCAGCAACACCAAGAGGAGCAACTAGATTCCTCCTTCCTCCAAGGAGCAGCTGGTCAGAGCCCGGCGGGCGTGAAGATACCTGCTGCTTGTACTGGGACAGGACGCTCAGAAGACTCCCATCCCCGCCAGGCACATCCTGGCCTAAAACGACGCCGTTTGATCCCATTCCAGACCAATTATTATGTGATGGTTGGTCCTCATCAGGGAACCAGCTGCGACTCCGATCTGCAGGCACGTGACCCGCAAAACTTTGCGGCTCGACCATAGGAAAGCTGTTCTGAGTACAGAGCGTTGCACTGGAATACATGTTGATGTTGTTCTCAACTTGCTGCGAGTAAAGTCCGCTGTGCCTCTCACCAAGCAATTGCATCTGCTCTTGGGCCAGGCCAGATTGAGCTAGGTGTCCGTTTGTCATGGAATGCAAGCCCATAGACTGTTTCATGCCGTTCACATGTCCCAGGGAATAAGAGGGGACCATTCCGACACCCTTTGTGCCATTTAGGAGCTGCTCACCGTTTAGCTGGTCGGTGCATGGTTGCAACAGAGATGCTGAACTGCTCATCGGTTGCGCAGCAGGAACACTGATTTGAGTTTGCTGTCTGCGTCTGTCATCTACCTTCAAGTCAATCATACAAGTTGCTGGCCCTCCAGACAGATGATGTTTAAGCTGCAGGGCACCTGATTGTGCGTATAGGCCATTCCCCGGAGGGTGGTAAAAGGAATCCACAGAGCTTGCTGACTGCCATAATTCTTTCTCGCATTTTGCAGGCCCTTTTAGTTCAGGACCTTCCACATTAGTTTGCCTGCTCAAAGTACTATCAGAGGGCATCATTGAGATATCATCAGTCTCTCTTTGATCAAGAATCATGCCATTCATCTCTTTTTTATTGTCATGTCCAGTTGAGGCACTCGGGTAGCACATGTTCTTCAAGTCATCAGTTTGCTCATCGAAACCGCCATGAACATGAATAGGAAAACCTATATAGCCAGTCTTCTTGCAATCTTGAACTAGCATATTCGGGCTGTTGAGGCCTTGAATAGGTGAGATCGTGTCGCTCATGGCCTTGGGCTCCTGAGATTGCATATCTGGAATGTGATGGTCTTGGAGAGTTGTATCATTGCAGCTGGTGTCTTCCATATCATCATCTGCCATGCCTGGATCGCTCTGGGAGATTCCGTTCCTACAGCTTATATCCACAGGGGCTTCATCTTGCGCGTCTGAGCTGTCGCCACTTTTAGCACTTGTGCTGCTAGTCTTTTCAACTTCTTCATCTTGCTCGTCTGAGGTACCCTGACTCTGGGTATGTATATTCGTGTTATTCGTGTCCATAACATCCTGATCTGTCACGTTTGGGCCGTCATGAGAGTCAGTGGATGTACCTGTATCACTCGTACCATTGCCATCATTGCCATCTTGATCTGTCGTGTTTGGGCTGTCATGAGAGTCTGTGGATGTATCAGTAGTATCACTTGTATCATTGGCATCTTCTTCATCTTCAAGACCTGCGCTGCTATTATTCCCGGATTGCGGCACATCCTGAGGCGAGTGCTCTACCAGTTCTTCCTGTCCATCTGAGGTGCCACTATTTCGATAAGCGCCATCTTGCCCAACTTCTGCGGTTCTGACACCTAACTGCTCTGCCTTCTCATAAAAAAATTAGAAGGCAGATTGTTAGAAACTAACCATAACTTTTAAATGAATACATAATAAATAAGAAATGCTTTGCAAATTTTCATGTTTACCCGGTGCCTAAACCGACTGTGCTGCATGATTACTAATACATTGCCATCATAAAATTGTATAATGACCCATTGGGCAGCAATGTGTAGTAAGAAACCTGCTATTCTCGTGCACAATAGATGTATAGCTGTACCAAATACTATCAACAGCATGTCTTTTGAAGCAAGCATCTACAACTTAGTCCGGGATTTGTTAAGAGATGCATGTGCAAGCAGTTTGACATCATGTGCGCTCAACCCATCTAAGCGAAAAATCCAGTCTATTTTCATACAGAAGTAAATTCCGCATCATGTTCTTCATATAAAAGTAGAAGTGCTCAAAATGGTAAGGCATAGCAAACCTTTTCCACCTCAGACATATTCCTCTCTGCAATTTCAAGGCACAAAGACCTCCTTAATTTCTCAGCAACCAACTTCTCTTCCCGGCGGGCCTTGAAAGCAGCAGGGAGTTCTTTACATGACAGAATGACCCTAGCATGGGTATAGTTTGACGTAAGAAAAGACCAATCAAAAGTAAAAACAAACAAAATCAAGATATTATTACTGACCAATGATCGTGCAGTTTCTGTTTCTCATCCTCCATCAGTGTCTCATATGGTTTCACATGAAAGTTATCGATATCACCAATAACACCAACAAGATGTCTTGTCTGAATGCCATCACCAGATTGTTTCATTCTCTTAACAAGATCATGTTGAGCCCTGCTGACCTGAAAAATAGGCACACCAAAGTAAATCTGTGATTCCAGATAAGCATAACATCAGCAGTACATTGAAAACAATTGCTGGTAGATACATCCAAACAATATGGCATCCTCATAAGGGGAACATGGTATATTACTATCGGCTGTGGCTGATGGATGCAACAATTGGAAATTCAACAGTCCAGCAGGAAAATATTTCAGAAAACTGGATTTATGTCAGATCTAACAGTTACTTTAGTCCTAAATGAATTCGATGCTACTGGGTTGAACAAGCAAATTAAAGCTTGACACTGCATTAGAAACAGAAGTGTTATACGATTGGTTATACTATTATGTTATAAGAAGAACTGCAATGGCTTGAATTTTATTTACATTTCCACTCCAGCATAGCGGAAGCAAAAATCTATTCTAAGCACCAAAAAGTTTACCTTAATATATGACATATACTTTGTGACATCACCGTTTCGTACAACCTTCATGGGTATTGCATTCTTAGGAGCGTTAGAAAATATGACATTTTCTCCGGATGACTGCCGGTCCCCTCGTCGCTGTTTAGCAAGGTTATCCCTACACGAGATAAGCAATAATAGGCTTCAAGTCAGAATAATCCAAAACACATGAGCTTTTCCTTTTGTAAGAGCCAATGGGAAGCAGTTGAAGTATTAGTAGCAACTAACGAAGCATCGCCAGGGTATTCAAACTAGTAGTAAAAATATAGGAGAGATATATATTTCACAAGATAACAAAAAAGGAAGTGCCAATCCAATGATAATTCCTAAAGGCTGGGCGGCAAGCCAGAAGCTAAGGAGTAAAAAAGGAGCTTGAAAAGTTACTCCCTCCGTTCCAAAATAGATGACCCAACTTTATAGTAACTTTAGTAGCTGCTTAAAAAGAAACTTCCTTAAATCTCAGTGAATAATCATAAAACTATTCAAAGGTCAGCAGGAGCATCAAGTTGTGTGTGTGTGTGTTTCACAAGTTGGTCATTCTGGAGAAGATGAACGAGCAACTGCCAATAAGATGTAGAAGCAAAAGCATTGAATAAAAAAAAACCTGAGAGAGGGGGAGAGAATAACCTGAACAAGCTTTTTGGATTGTCACAAGTTAACCATTTGTCCCTCCACCTGGTGAGGGTCTCAGTGATGCTGCATAGTTAAGTTAGGGTGTTGTTAAGAAATTGCACTGCAATACGAGCAGAATGGAGTAGAATATTAGCAGCATACTCGGAATGGTAGTTGTTCAACAGTGCATGATATGCCTTGTTATCGGCTCTGATTTGCTGCTCCTTGTGAAGTATAGCGTCTGGATGAAGATGAGCAGAGCAAAGAGAAGAGGACCTGGAGTGCAACAGAAGCTAATGAAGAGAAATTATGGTGACAAATGTGTGTGCGTGTGGAACATGAAGCAGGGTGTGTACTAGTATAAGTAGTAGCAAACTGAATGAAGAAAAGAAAAAAGAAAAGAAATACTTGCCAGGTTACAAGGGGGTTCCCAAAGTGGTGATTTTCCCCTGTGAGCAAATGGCGCACTGCTTCCTCGGCATCGGAGCCGGCCGGAAGAAACCTGGCAAGGAACCTCCTGTCGGCCTCCGTCAGGCAGGCGTCCCAGACCTAGCAGGCAGGAATCCCTCCCTCAGCAGGAATATATATATTAGCAAGGAGAGGAGAGCAGATTAGTACCTCGTAGGACAACACCCCACCGAGGAGAGGGATGTCGCCCAGGGAGAAAATCCGCCTGGGGACGGGGGCGACGTCGGCGAGGGCGAGGGCGAGGGCGCGGCGGGCGCGGGGCGGGGAGTCGATGAAGGGGGCGAGGTGGCGCCAGGGGATGCCGATCTGGTCGTCGGCGGGGAGGGCCCGCCTGGAGCGGTCATCCCAGCGGAGGTGGATGTGAGAGCTGAGGGTCAGCAGAGGGGAGCCCCTCGCCCGCTTGCTCGATCTCTTGTGCTGCTGCTGCTGGTTGGGCGGCGGCGCGTTCGGGGGCCGCTTCCTCGGCTGGCCGGCTGACATCTCACCCGTCTTTCTCGCAGGGCGACGGCGGCGGCGGTTGGGAGTCGACGGCCGGGGTAGGGAGAGGGGGGAGGACGAGGGTTGGACTGGACTGGATCCCCTCCCTCCGCTGCCAAAGCCAAACCCAAACCCAAAGAGGGGAGAGGATGAGGGATCCGACGCCGTCCGATCCAAACCCAAATCCAAATCTCAATCCTTCACCCAGACTGCTTCTTGTGCTGCCTCCGAGGTTGCCATGTACTCCACTTCATATGTAGATCCCGCCACAATGCTTTGCTTGCAACTGCACCAGCTTACTGCCCCACCATTCAAAATATACACGTATCCGGTTTGTGACTTTGAGTTATCCAGATCTGTGTCGAAGCTAGCATCGACGTAACCCTTTACGACGAGCTCTTCGTCACCTCCATAAACGAGAAACATTTTCTTGGTCTTTTTCAGGTACTTCAGGATATTCTTGACCGCTGTCCAGTGTTCCATGCCGGGATTACTTTGGTACCTTCCTACCAAACTTACGGCAAGGTTTACATCAGGTCTGCTACACAGCATAGCATACATGATAGACCCTATGGCCGAGGCATAGGGGACGACACTCATCTTTTCTCTATCTTCTGCCGTGGTCAGGCATTGAGCCGTGCTCAATCTCGTACCTTGCAATACAGGCAAGAACCCCTTCTTTGACTGATCCATTTTGAACTTCTTCAATATCTTGTCAAGGTACGTACTCTGTGAAAGACCAATGAGGCGTCTCGATCTATCTCTATAGATCTTGATGCCTAATATATAAGCAGCTTCTCCAAGGTCCTTCATTGAAAAACACTTGTTCAAGTAGGCCTTTATGCTTTCCAAGAATTCTATATCATTTCCCATCAACAGTATGTCATCCACATACGATATGAGAAATGCTACACAGCTCCCACTCACTTTCTTGTAAATGCAGACTTCTCCATAAGTCTGCATAAACCCAAACGCTTTGATCATCTCATCAAAACGAATGTTCCAACTCCGAGATGCTTGCACCAGCCCATAAATCGAGCGTTGGAGCTTGCACACCTTGTCAGCATTCTTAGGATCGACAAAACCTTTCGGCTGCATCATATACAATTCTTCCTTAAGGAAACCATTAAGGAATGCCGTTTTGACGTCAATTTGCCATATCTCATAATCATAGAATGCGGCAATTGCTAACATGATTCGGACGGACTTCAGCTTCGCTACGGGTGAGAAAGTCTCATCGTAGTCAACCCCTTGAACTTGTCGATAACCCTTAGCGACAAGCCGAGCTTTATAGATGGTCACATTACCATCCGCGCCTGTCTTCTTCTTAAAGATCCATTTATTTTCTATGGCTCGCCGATCAACGGGCAAGTCAGTCAAAGTCCATACTTCATTTTCATACATGGATCCTATCTCGGATTTCATGGCTTCCAGCCATTTGTCGGAATCCGGGTCCGCCATCGCTTCTTCATAGTTCGAAGGTTCACCGTTGTCTAACAACATGATTTCCAAGACAGGGTTGCCGTACCACTCTGGTGCGGAACGTGTCCTTGTGGACCTACGAAGTTCACTAGCAACTTGATCTGAAGTTTCATGATCATCATCATCAACTTCCTCTCTAGTCGGTGCAGGCACCTCAGGAACATTTTCTTGTTTGCGCATCATGCCATGTCTATGTGGTGGTCGTTTACTAGGTTGTTTGCTCTTTTCCGGTGTTGCTTCTTCGGGTTGGTTCCGATAACGTCGTGTTTGTGAGGAACCGTTCGACTTCGTCCATTTGTCTTCTTCATGGACTCGTCCTTCTTCCTTGTGGGATTTCAGGCAAGATGATCATACCCTCGAAATCACTTCTATCTTTGCTTGCTAGATGCTCGCTATTTTGCTATGCCTATGCTACAATACATATCACTTGCTTATCATGCCTCCTATATTGTTGAACCAAGCCTCTAACCCACCTGGTCCTAGCAAACCGTTGTTTGGCTATGTTACCGCTTTGCTCAGCACCTCTTATAGCGTTGTTAGTTGCAGGTGAAGATTGAAGTTTGTTCCTTGTTGGAACATGGAGATGTTGTTCCTTGTTGGAACATGTTTACTTGTTGGGATATCACAATATATCTTAATTAATTAATTAATGCATCTATATAGTTGGTAAAGGGTGGAAGGCTCGGCCTTTTGCCTAATGTTTTGTTCCACTCTTGCTGCCCTAGTTTCCGTCATATCGGTATTATGTTCCCGGATTTTGCGTTCCTTACGCGGTTGGGTAATAATGGGAACCCCTTGACATTTCGCCTTGAATAAAACTCTTCCAGCAATGCCCAACTTTGGTTTTACCATTCGCCACCTAGCTTCTTTTTCCCTTGGGTTCCGCGGACTCAAGGGTCATCTTATTTAAACCCCCCCCGGGCGAGTGCTCCTCTGAGTGTTGGTCCACCTCGCCAGCCGCCGGTGGCCACCAGGGGCAACTCTGGGCTGGCCTACCGGAAGTTTGGACAATCTGAGTGTGCCCTGAGAACGAGATATGTGCAGCTCCTATCGGGATTTGTCGGCACATTCGGGCGGTGTTGCCGGATTTGTTTTAACTTGTCGAAGTTGTCTTGTAGAACCGGGATACCGAGTCTGATCGGAATGTCTCGGGAGAAGGTATATCCTTCGTTGACCGTGAGAGCTTGTCATGGGCTAAGTTGGGACTCCCCTGCAGGGATTTGAACTTTCAAAAGCCGTGCCCGCGGTTATGGGCAGATGGGAATTTGTTAATGTCCGGTTGTAGAAAACCTGAAGTTCACCTTAATTAAAATATATCAACCGCGTGTGTAACCGTGATGGTCTCTTTCCGGCGGAGTCCGGGAAGTGAACACGGTGTTGGATTTATGCTTGACGTAGGTTGTTCTAGGATCACTTCTTGATCATACTTTTATCGACCGTGCTTTGCCTTCTCTTCTCGCTCTCATTTGCGTATGTTAGCCACCATATATGCTAGTCACTTGCTGCAGCTACACCTCATACCTTTTACCCTTCCTATAAGCTTAAATAGTCTTGATCGCGAGGGTGCGAGATTGCTGAGTCCCCGTGACTCACAGATACTTCCAATACCAGTTTGCAGGTGCCGAGGTTACCGAGCAGGTGACGCAACCAAGCTCAAGGAGGAGCTCGATGAAGATCTTGTCCTTTGTGTTGTTCCGTTCTAGTTGATCAGCAGTGGAGCCCAGTTGGGGTCGATCGGGGATCTGTGTAGCATTTCGGGTAGTCTTCTTTTATTTTGGTACCATAGCCGGACCATGATTGTATTGGTTGATGTAATGTTATTTATGTACTTTGTGTGACGTGGCGAGTGTAAGCCAACTATGTACCTTTCCCCTTATTATGTATTACATGGGATGTTGTGAAGATTACCTCACTTGCGACATTGCTTTCAATGCGGTTATGCCTCTAAGTCGTGCTTCGACACGTGGGAGATACAACCGTATCGAGGGCGTTACAAAACTCAAGCAATATGATATAAACCCCATCTTTTTATCCTCTATGGCAACAATACAATACGTGCCTTGCTGCCCCTGCTGTCACTGGGAAAGGACACCGCAAGATTGAACCCAAAGCTAAGCACTTCTCCTATTGCAAGAAAGATCAATCTAGTAGGCCAAACTAAACCGATAATTCGAAGAGACTTGCAAAGATATCAAATCATGCATGTAAGAATTCAGAGAAGAACCAAATATTAGTCATAGATAAACTTGATCATAAATCCACAATTTATCGGATCTCGACAAACACACCGCAAAAAGTATTACATCGAATAGATCTCCAAGAACATCGAGGAGAACTTTGTATTGAGAACCAAAGAGAAAGAAGAAGCCATCTAGCTAATAACTATGGACCCGAAGGTGTGTGGTAAACTACTCACACATCATCGGAGAGGCTAGTGTTGGGGAACATTGCAGAAAACAAAAAATTTCCTACGGTTTCACCAAGATCCATCTATGAGTTCATCTAGCAACGAGTGATCGGATGCATCTACATACCTTTGTAGATCGCGAGCGGAAGCGTTCAAAGAACGGGGATGATGTAGTCGAACACGACGTGATCCAAATCACCGGAGATCCTAGCGCCGAACGGACGGCACCTCCGCGTTCAACACACGTACGGTTAGCGTAACGTCTCCTTCTTCTTGATCCAGCAAGGGGGAGGGAGAGGTTGAGGAAGATGGCTCCAGCAACAGCACGACGGCGTGGTGATGATGGAGCTGCAGTACTCCGTCAGGGCTTCGCCAAGCGCTATGGAGGAGGAGGAGGAGTTGGAGAGGGAGAAGGAGGCAACCAAAGGCGTGTATGAAAAGCCCTCCTTCCCCCACTATATATAGGAGGGCCAAGGGGGGAGGCGCCGGCCCTAGGAGATCCAATCTCCTAGGGGGGCGGCGGCCAAGGGAGGTTTCCCTCCCCCCAAAGGCACCTAGGGGTGCCTTCCACTAGTGGGACTCCTCCCATATGGAAACCCTAGGCGCATGGGCCTATTGGGGCTGGTGCCCTTGGCCCATGTAGGCCAAGGCGCACCCCCTCTAGCCCATGTGGCCCCCGGGGCAGGTGGACCCACCCGGTGGACCCCCGGGACCCTTCCGGTGGTCCCGGTACAATACTGATGACCCCGAAACTTGTCCCGATGGCCGAAACAGGACTTCCCATATATAAATCTTTACCTCCGAACCATTACAGAACTCCTCGTGACGTCCGGGATCTCATCCGGGACTCCAAACAACATTCGGGTTACTGTATATACATATCCCTACAACCCTAGCGTCACCGAACCTTAAGTGTGTAGACCCTACGGGTTCGGGAGATATGTAGACATGACCGAGACGACTCTCCGGTCAATAACCAATAGCGGGATCTGGATACCCATGTTGGCTCCCACATACTCCACGATGATCTCATCGGATGAACCACGATGTCGAGGATTCAAGCAACCCCGTAGCAATTCCCTTTGTCAATCGATATGTTACTTGCCCGAGATTC